GAGAGAAAGAGAAAATACTGGTTTTGATATTGCCTTCAAGAAGCATATCTTTTTGATTCTAGGACTGAGACACACAGTAAATGAAAATATAAATATGTTAATTATTTTAATCAATTTAGGTATAATTTAATGCAGCAAGATACACCACTATTAAGTGTAAAATTAGAAATTTTGAAAAATAAATATAGTCACGCAACTGCCACTACCCTCATGATTCAGAACATTTCCATCGCCCCAAAAAGCAACCTCATGTTCCGTGGTAGTCAATATCCTTCTTGATCCCAGCTTTTAGCAACCAGTAATCTGCTTTCTGTCACTATAGTTTTGCCTTTTGTTTGATAATTTCAGAATCATACAATGTGTAGTCTTTGTGTCTGGCTTCTTTTACTTAGCATAATGTTTTTGAGATTTATCCATGTTATTTCATGTGTCAATGCTATTTTCCCTTTCATTTATGAACATTATTCAATTGAATAAATACATCACAATTTTTTTTGTTTCTCTATCAGTTGATGGACATTTGGGCTGTGTCCAGGTTTTAGTTATTATGAATAAAGCTACTATGAACAGAAAAATCTCTGTATAGACATATGTTTTCATTTCTGTTAGGCAAATACCTAGGTGTGGGATTGTCGGGCTGCATAATAAGTGTTTATCTTACTGTATATGAAACTATCAAATTGTTTTTCAAAGTGGCTGTTTGATTTTGAATCCCCGTCACATTCTGCCCCCTGGACCTGTCTGTTATCCATCAACCAAATCCTTCCCAATGTCCTCTACCTCTTCTCTCTATGTTTCAGTTACTGTCTTCATGGTATACATACCACAAGATTAAAAGGTCAAGTTGAATATTCTGTTTACTCCTGTTGGCCCTTTCACATCGTATCTCCTCACTTGCCCCCACCAAGAACTCCAACTCCTCCTGAAGTGCACTTCACTTAATAACTGCTCTTCTCCAACACAGCCATGCTGCTCTCATCTGATGCTCTCCTGATCACTGTTCTTTTTTCATTGGTGATATTAGCATCTGCATTCCTGTCTTCTTCTCTAACATTTTGTCTTTCACCATAAATTTTATTTTTTACTCAACAAATATTTTTAGAGGTCTATTTGTGTTAGGCACAGCTTCAGCTATTTGTTTACAGTAATAGACAAAAAGATTAATAAATTGATATCACAGTCTTCATTTAGCATGTATTTTAATGGAAACATGCATACATACATATATTTACAATATGCATACATACATATGTATATACATACACATGCACATTTATATAATTTATGGATAAAAGCAAAGCCAGAAGGGGTTAGGCATGGGTTTTTTTTGATAGGAGGAGGTAAATTTGTGTCAGCTTTTAATAGTATATTATAGGAAGGCCACACTGAGAAGCTGAAAGCAGGTCATGAATTTCTGTAGGTAAAGATATATATTAGTCCATTTTCATGCTGCTGATAAAGACATATCCAAGACTGGAAAGAAAAAGAGCTGTAACTGGACTTACAGTTTCACATGGCTGGGGAGGCCTCAGAATCATGACGGGAGGTAAAAGGCACTTCTTACATGGTGGCAGCAAGAGAAAATGAGGAAGAAGCAAAAGCAGAAACCCCTAATAAACCCCTGACTTATCACTACGACAAGAACATTATGGAGGAAACTGCCCCCATGATTCAAATGATCACCCACAACACATGGGAATCATGAGAGTACATTTCAAGTTAAGATTTGGGTGGGGACACAGCCAAACCATATTATTCTACCCCTGGCTCTTCCAAATCTCATGTCCTCACATTTCAAAACCTTCCTTCCAAAATCATGCCTTCCCAACATCCTCCAAAGTCTTAACTAATTTCAGCATTAACCCAAAAGTTCACAGCCCAAAATCTCATCTGAGACAAGGCAAGTCCCTTCCACCTATGAGCCTGTAAAATCAAATGAAAGCTAGTTAATTCCTAGATACAATGGAGGTACAAGTATTGGTTAAATACAACCATTCCAAATGGGAGTAATTGGACAAAACAAAGAGGTTACAGGCCCCATGCAAGTCTGAAATCCAGCAGGGCCATCAAATTCTAAAGCTCCAAAATGATCTCCTTTGACTCCATGTCTCACATCCAGGTCACACTGATGTAAGAGGTGGGTTCTCATGGTCTTGGGCAGCTCTGCTCCTGTGGCTTTACAGGGTGTAGCTCCACTCCTGGCTGCTTTCACAGGCTAGCATTGAGTGTCTGCAGCTTTTCCAGGTGCACAGTGAAAGCTTTTGGTGGATCTATCATTCTGGGGTCTGGAGGACAGCGGCCCTTTTCTCATAGCTCCACTAGGCAGTGCTCCAGAAGGGACTCTGTATGGGACCTCCAACCCCACATTTCCCTTCTGCATTGTCTTAGTAGAGATTCTTCAAGAGGGTCCTGCCCCTGAAGCAAACTTTTTTCTGGGAATCCAGGCATTTCCATAGATCTTCTGAAATCTAGATGGTTCCTAAACCTCAATTCTTGACTTCTGTGCACCTGCAGGCTCAACACCATGTAATAGCTGCCAAGGTTTGGAGCTTCCACCCTCTGAAACCATGGCACCTTTTAGCCATGGCTGGAGGAGTACCTTGGCATGCTTTAGCCATGGCTACAGCAGCTTGGATGCAGGGCAGCAAGTTGCTAGGCTGCACACAGCATAGGACCCTGGGCCCAGACTCCAAAACCATTTTTTTTCTCCTAGACTTCTGGGTCTGTGATGAGAGGGGCTGCCATGAAGACATGACATGACCTGGAGACCTTTGTCTAGATTAACATTCAGCTCCTTGTTACTTATGCAAATTTCTGCAACCAGCTTGAATTTCCCCTCAAACAATGGATTTTCCTTTTCTACTGCATTGTCAGGCTGCAAATTTTCTGAACTTTTATGCTCTGTTTCCTTTTTAAAGTGAAGTGCTATTAACAGCACCCAAGTCACCTTTTGAATGCTTTGCCGCTTAGAAATTTCTTCTGCCAGATACCCGAAGTCATCTCTCTCAAGTTCAAAGTTCCACAAATCTCTAGAGCTGGGGAAAAATGCCACTAGTCTTTTGCTAAAAGATAACAAGAATCACCTTTGCTCCAGGTCCCAATAAGTTCCCTATCTCCATCTGAGGCCACCTTAGACTGGACCTTATTGTTCATATCACTATAAGCATGTTGTCAAAGCCATTAAACAAGTCTCTAGGAGATTCCAAACTTTCCCACATTTTTCTTCTTCTGAGCCATCCAAACTGTTCCAAACTCTACCTGATACCCAGTTCCAAAGTCACTTCCACATTTTCAGGTATCTTTTCAGCAATGCTCCACTCTACTGGTACCAGTTTACTCTATTGGTCCATTTTTATGCTGCTGGTAAAGACATACTCGAGACCAGGAAGAAAAAGAGGTTTAATTGGACTTATAGTTCTACATGGCTGGGGTGGCCTCAGAATCATGGCAGGAGATGAAAGGTACTTCTTAGACAGCCGCAGGAAGAGAAAAATGAGGAAGAAGCAGAGCAAAAACCCAATAAAACCATCAGATCTTGTGAGACTTATTCACTATCATGAAAAGAGTTGGGGGGAAACTGCCGCCATAATTCAAATTATCTCCCACTGGCTCCCTCCCACAACACATGAGAATTATGGGAGTACAATTCAAGATAAGATTTGGATGGAGACACAGAGCCAAAAATATATCAAGAGAGCTCCAAGCAGAAGCAATCATAAATACAAAATCCTTGAGGCTGGAAGATGCCCAAGGAATATGTTCGGCAAGTGAAAAGGCCAGATTGCCTGGAGCACAGTGAGCAATGAGAGAACAATTTTTGTACAACCATTTTCATTTTTTTTAATAATATTGTAAATATCTCAGAAAGGATGTATTGTTTCTAATCAACATCAAAAAAGTCATCACGATGACATGTTACCCTGTCCCCACATTGCCATCCCTGCCCCCCAAAGTTATCCAAATACTAGTAGGAAATTACAAAAAACAAAAAACAACAATCTACCCTCAGCCCTGACTTAAGTGAGTCAAGTGTTCAGTGCCACATATACAATGTGTGTGTGTGTGTGTGTGTGTGTGTGTGTGTGTGTGTGTGTCAGTGATGGTGGAACACAGGGATCTGTGCATCCATGAGAGTTGATGTGAACAACTGGTAACAGCAGTAGTGGGAAGCCTCCTTCCCTGGGGCCTGCTGGAAAGACAGCAGCGAAGGACAAATGCAAGCAGGGGCTCAGCCTGGCCCTCCCTGTGTCCGCAGAGCCCAATAGCTCAGGGAGATGAGAGTGGCATGGTGGCTTGCCCATAAGAAGCTGGGCAGGCCTGAGCTGTGTGCACAGCTCAATGTCACTGATAACTAGGGAAATGCAAATCAAAACCACAGTGAGATACCATCTCCCACCAGTCAGAATGGCTATCATTAAGAAGTCAAAAAATAACAGATATTGGCAAGGTTATGGTGAAGGAACATTTATACACGATTGGTGGGAGTGTAAATTAGTTCAGCCATTGTGGAAGACAGTGTGACAATTCTTCAAGGACCAAAAAACAGAACTACCATTCAACCCAGAAATCTAACTGGTATAGACCCAAACAAATATAAATTGTTCTGTCATAAAGACACATGCACACACATGTTTATTCACACTAGCAGAGACATGGAATCAACCTAAATGCCCATCAATGGTAGACTGGATAAAGAAAATGTGGTACTTATACACCATGGAATACTATGTAGACATAAAAAAGAATGAGATTATGTCCTTTGCAGAAACATGAATGAAGCCAGAGGCCATTACCCTTAGCAAACTAACACTGAAAAGGAAAACCAAATACCACAGGTTCTCATTAGTAAGTGGGAGTTAAAAGATAAGAACATGTAGACATAAAGAGGGGAACACCACACACTGGGGCCTTTCCAAGGGTGAAGGGTGGGAGGAGGAAAAGAAGCAGGAAAAATAACTGATGGGTACTAGGCTTAATACTTGGGTAATGAAATAATCTGTACAACAAACCCCCATGACACAAGTTTACCTACGTAACAAATGTGCACATGTACTCCTGAACTTAAAAGAAATTAAAATTTCAAAAACCAAACAAAGATCCAGTGGTTACTCAGCTCTGCTTAATCACCCTAACTTATAGGCTTAATACATTTACTTTTTCATTCTCTCAGTGATCATTGTAGATCTTCTCTGAGGTTTTCAAATATGGTAATTTTCCATTTCCCCATTTCAGGGAAATTCAGTATTTCCTTGAGAGAAACACTGTCAGCTGGTGACTGCATTTCTTATTAAACTGAGAAAACACATGCAAATGTGGGCTCCCTCAGCTCCATAAAACGGAATCCACCACGCTGTCTCTATGTGTACCTGTGCATTTTGCCTGACTTCCTGCTAAAGTGAGTGACCTGCCTCTCTGGAGCTACTTTTTTAAAATCTGGATTCTATCTCTTCTCATCTATTAAATGAGTTTTCTTCTAAAACTAGTTTTTTTCATCACCTGAATCTTTATTGCCCTCCACCTGCTAGGCTAATCTCATCTACATTCAAAGGTGCCATAACAAAACTCATCATTTTTTTGAGTTTTTTTTTTATTTTACTTTATGTTTATACTATATCCAGCATTTCTCCCATGTTATCCCTCCCCATCTTAACAAAAACATTTCCACTGACCCCGCATCTCATTTAGGCCACCTCCCCCTTTCTTTGCTTCTCTTAAAAACAACTCTTCAAAAGAGTTGTCTCTACATGATTTCAGTTTCTTCCATTCTCCTTTCAGCCCATTTCAAATACAAACTTCCTTAACAAATAACTAAAGCTACTCTTTCAAGGTTATTAACAACCTTCATGTTGCCAACTTTAGTGACCAATTTTCTGTTTCACCTTATTCCAGATCGCCACAGCATTTGACAGAGTCAGTTCCTTCCTCTCTCCTTAACTACTTCCTTCGCTTGGTTTCCAGGGCACCACCCCTTTCCTACTCTCCTTCTCGCTCACCACTGACACCTGAGCAGTCTCTTTTGCATGTCTATCTTGAAGTGCCTCAGGGCAAGGTCCTCATGCTTCTCTCTCCATGGGTTCCCTCGTGATCTCATCATGACTGTAAATATCATCTACAGTAGTGCCCCCTCATCCATGTGGAGTGTGTTCCAACACTCCCAGCAGACGCTTGAAACCATGGATAGCACCAAATCCTATATAGACTCTGCTTTTTCTTATACAGAAAGCTTTTTCTTATTCATTCTCTTGTACCTACGATAAAGTTTAATTTATAAGTTAGTCACAGTAAGAAATTAACAATAATAATAAAAGAAAACAAGGATAACAGTATACTATAATAAAATTATGTAAATATGGCCTCTCTCTCTTTCTCTCTCCCTTCCTTCTCAAAATATCTTCTTGTACTGTGCACACAGGTAACTGAAACCACAGAAACGAAACTGTGGGTAAAGTGGAACTACTGTATATGCTGAGTCCTCCCAAGCACCAAAATTACAAGTCTCATTGCCTTCAGGAGTCCCCAGCTGGATGTTTAATAGGTATCTCAGTCTGTACAAGATCAGAACAGAACTCTTGATTTCTCACCACCACCGCCACCAACACCCCCTCCCCCTCCACACACACACACATTCAAACCTCCTGTGTCTACTCCCAGTTTTCTTTTAATACATGGCACCACTACTACTCAGTTGTTTTATTTTTTTTTGCTACTGCTGCCATCACAAAATAGCACAGACTGGAGGCTTAACAAAGAGATTTATTTGTTCTTGATTCTTGAGGCTAGGTACTCAAGATCAAGGCGTTTGAACCTTCAGTTTCTTCTGAGATCTCTCTCCTGGGCTTGCAGAGAGCAGACTTCTCCTTATGTCTTCACATGGTCAACTCTCTGTGCATATGCACATGTCTGGTATCTTCCTATATGTACAAATGTCCTTTTTGTATAAGGATTATCAGTCATATTGGATTAGGGCCTACCTTAAGGGCTTCACTTTAGCTTAATCACCTCTTGAAATACCTTGTCTCCAAATACAGTCACATCCTGAGGTACTATGGCTAGAACTTCAACATAAAAATGCTGGACATAGAGAGACACATAATTCATTCAATAACAATTGCTCAATCCAAAGCTTCAGATGACATTCCTGTTTCTCTATTTTACTGCTTAATACATCAATGAGTCCTTTCGATCTAGCTTCAAACATGTCTTAAATTTGATCACACACAATCTCTATTTCTAGAGCCTAGATACTGGAGTCTTCCCAGAACTGGCATCCATACTTCCAAACTTGCCCACACAGTAGCTAGAGGGAAAATTAAATATATTAATTCAATAGTTCAATGGATTCCTGATGTACTTAGAATAAAATCCAAACCCCTTACCTTTGTCAGCATGATTTATCCCCTGCCTCTCTCTCCTATCTCAGCATCCATGTGTCTCTGCTTGATTTCCATGCTCTAGCCACACTGGGCTTCTTGCTATCTTTATACCAACCACATTAACTCTAGCATCAGACATGTGACATTTTCTAGTTTCTCTGACTGAAACACTATTCCTCTATACTTGGTATGGGTTGACCTCTACTCATCATTTAGCTCTCTACCTCCCAGTGATGCTCCATCCCTTTACTCTACCCTATTCTCTTCAGGGTTCATGTCATTCTCTGAATTATGTTTAGTTACCCATTTCCTGTCTCTGCAACTAAAATATAAAGTCCAAGATGTCACAGACCTTGCTGTCTTGTCTACTGTTATATTTTCAGTGCTTAGAGTATAATCACATATAGCACACGCTCAACACTTAGTGAATACATAAATCAATGATGAATAAGTGAATATTATTTTTACCACCAGTTTGTAGTTTTAGAAGTTGAAGCTGAGGCATTTTGAACAGGTTGCCCAAGGTCATATGGCTGTAAATGGCCACCGCAGAGCTGAAATATACTTACTTTAAATTCGCATCTTGTGTGTTCTTATCACAACACAATGCCTAGCTGGGACTTAGAATAATCTTCTGGGTTGAAATTTTAAAATGATTGGAAGATTTACTATTAAATTATTGTCACTTTAACTTGCTCTTATGCCATCTTGTGACAGCCAGACATGTTCTCCCATAGTCCCAGAATGGAGACATGTAACTTACACTCGCCCCACTCAGAACACAAACACAGCAGAAACCACACCTTCCAGAGAAAAACAGGTGTAAAGAGACTGTGAGAATATCATTCATTTTCCTTTAGTGTCCTGTCCAAAACAAGAAGAAATTTTTAATAGTGGGGAAATTTTTTCCCAGCTTCATATCTGCTTTTGTTTTCAAAAATTTTTTGTTATTGCTGTAGATAAGCTCATAGACTCTCCGTTGTATTGTTTTTCACCAGAACGTTTTGAAGATTAGATTTTACTTCTGTGAGTAGCTTAAGTAACAGAAATTTATTATCTCCCAATCCTCGAGGCTACAAGTCTAAGATTAAGGTGTTGGCAAGGTTGGTTCCTTCTGATGACTGCGAGAAAGAATCTGTTCCATGGCATTCTGCCCATGTCTGTGTCTGTCTCCAAATTTCCCCTTTTTAAAGAACTCTAGTCATATTGAATTCAGGCCCACCTTCATAATATAATTTTAACTTGATTACCTCTGCAAACATCCTATCTCAAAATAAGGTTATATCCTGAGGTACCAGGATTTAGAATGTCAACATATCACTGTTGGGGCGGAGATGGGGAGCACTATTCAGCCATTAACAATTCTTACAAGTACTCTAAGAATTAGACATCCAATTGCCAGAAAATTGTAAAAGTAACAAATCAACCTCTTATACAATATCCTCAAATTTACCATTTCTGGAAAGAAAGGGGAGGCAGATGAAAAAATAACACATTCACTGAGAAAATACTATTACTTCATTCTTTAATTCAATTACATTGAATTGAATGAATTTCAAATCAATTTTATCTAATGAACTCATGACATTATCTTATTCCACTCTTAAAACATCCAGGTGAATAATATTGCTACTGACACAGAAAGATATTAAGATAAAGATAGGCAGAGTAAAACAGTTGTTGTCAACATAATGGAAAAGTTTTCATGTCTTGTGATTTTTATGTGATTCTAAAGCCATGCTTTCATGTATGCTAACCTTCTCATGACTCTTGCCTTTAATAAAAGAGAAGTAGAAATCAATCTCTGGTCACAAGGTTTTTATAGTCTAGCTAATAAAATGAGCTGTATACACAATTGAAGATGAATTCAAAATCAAATATCAACGAGACCAAATTTAAGTTTCTTGGTAAAAGAGACTTTGTCTTATTCATCAATTAGGCCTCAGTACAAAGTTCAATGCCTAGCACAAAAAGGATGCTCAATACATATTTGCCAAATGAGTAGGTGAAAAAGTGCATGAACAAACAGCAGCATGTTAAGATGCGATTCATTCAGCAAGCCATCTATTGAATGCTTCTCATGAGCCATGTATGTGCCAGGTACTGCTTCAAAGGGAACAGAAATATGCATGCCTTAAAGGAAGAAAACCTGGAGAATGAATCAAATAAGGTCAA